GGCAGAAACACCCGGCGAGGGGCTCGCGTGAATAGTTGTGACAGTAGTTAATGAATAGTTACTGCTGGCAAAAGCACTTGAGCAACAAACAGATGTCCTGCTTTTGAACAATCTTCTAAAATTCAAGCATGAAGCAACAGTTATGGGGGCTTGCACTGATGAATTTTAAGAACCGTGAAGACGATCGTGATCGCAAGGGGAGAAGGGACGGCGAGAGTGAGGTTCGGGTTCTGGTTCATGAATCGCATGCTGGTGCTGTCATTGGTCGTGGAGGATCGCGTATCAAGGAGCTACGTGAAAAAACTGGAGCTCAGCTCAAGGTTGCCCTTTTTTTGGTTTTTTCTGTGGTTGATGTGTTTAAGTAGATCGCGTAGTAACAACCTTACGTCAACATTGTTCGTGATGTTCTAAGGGACCCGCACGTGAATACGTTTTTGGTGATGAAATTTTGCGCTTTTTTGAAAGACAAATTCAAATTTTTGCGATTTTTATCACGACCGACCTTCCATCGTTCCTCGGCTGTTAGATTTCGTTTAAGATAGTGGAGATACATGAAATTACGTGAGGTTTGCGATCGAATTCATTTTTAAGGTTTTCTCACGCACTGCACCGCAATCTTCTGAGAGACTGGTACTGCTGAATGGCGAAGTGGACAAAATAGTGGAGTGCATCGCCATAATCATCGACGTCCTGAAGGAGGTAACTACTCCTGCTGCAGTTATACATTTACATGTGATGTAACAACTGGCTCGGATGAACTTTTTGCCGAGCATTTCATCTGGGATTCGCAGTAATTGGCATATTTCATGTATTCAAGTCCAAAGCCAAAAGTATCTTTCTGAGAGACAAGGGCATTTAGAAAGGCCTGAGTTATTGGCACATTGCCAGCAGTGGAAGCCTGAGATTTTTTGGAAGTAAATTTAAGGTTGTTTAATTTTGCTTCCATGCTTAAGCTCGTTGCTTCTACTTTACCATCGTTTTGATTTGAAGAATCGTAAGCATGTTGA